TACGGAGTTTATATTAATTAATCTTCTAATCAGAAACATCACAGTTTAACAAAAAAAACCCTATCGATTAAAACCCTTGATGACTCTATGCTATTGTCAGCATGCAAAACGTTAAGTGTTAGAAGCGATTTCGTATCAGGTTCTAAGCTTTTGCTTGTCATTTAGGTAAAAGCGAGATTGATCCCAATAAGGCAACATCTACGCTCCTTGCTATAGTCTCTTTGTGTCATCATCACAACTGCCTTGACATTTCCGCTTAATGCCTTTCTCAACGGTTTGGCACTTTTTGGATTTTACAACCGAATACTTTGATAATGATGAGGATGAGCACACGCATTTTTTAATTAGATTTCATGAAACATTGAAAGTAGTGTGGTCTTAGGCGATTTTAGAAAGTAGAGCAAAGATTCAAGGTGGATCGTGAGTGATGTACTTGTGGCAAAAGGAAATCAAGAAACTATTTACTGAAAATGTTTTTATTTTTATATGGTGTCAAACAAAGGTTAATCTATGAAAAAGACAATTTTCACAAACGGCGATTACCATATYAACGCAAATTGCGACGGTTAATGCGTTATTCTTGATGKTAGAATCACCAAATAACAAGAAATTACTAAAACAACCTAGCAACAGGAATATACAGCTTCAATGCTAAATCCGATAACAAAATTAGCACCTCAAAATTGCATATGAACAACAGTACATCCAAGAATATGTATGCAGAAAACCGCGGATACGCCCAGGACTGACCTACAGAATCCCTAGTGCACTTTGAGGTCTCAGACTTCCCCCGTTTCTCCCTTTTTCTATTGAACCTCCACGGGGTGGGGGAGGACCGAACCTCCACGGGGTGGGGGAGGACCGAACCTCCCATTGTCTTTAGTCTATCCTGCAGCTTAGAACATACCACTGTGTCGTTCCAATCCCTTGTATGACAATGTTTAAAATCCCTCGATCTGCTTAGCGGACACTGGGCACGTACTATGCCTTATGAGGATAAGTGACGCTATAATCCAGTACATTTAGTATTTATCGTAAAAACCGTAACACGCACAAATAAAATTTAGCTAATGCACTATATTCACGCATTTAATTTATCACGCGATTGAATTTAAAAAAATGCTCATTTTGTACCAAGCTCTTCTACGAAATACAAAACCGTTGTGAAAAGGAATTAAAGAGGGTAGTACTAAGGGCCTTAAGGTAACTATTATATTTTTAATAAATATACAAATTGTTTATCACGTGATGTATTATATGACATTCGTCACGTGGTCTTATCAGTGATTTACTTATGTTTGGTTATTCATATTGTTGTTACTAAGTGGATGATACCGATTTTCTTATATAATAATTCTATTTAAAATACTTTATGGAGGAGTATATATAACCCAAACAACTTTGGTCATTTCTGTACAACGGTGCTACAGTAACCTCCATTAGAGATGTCTTCTATATGGCTGAATGGAAGCTATGCTTTCTCTGCAGTCTAGCTTTACAGGGTTAACCTTGATTATTGCATTCTCTAAAAGTTGACTAAGGACGTTGTAATACTAAAATGAATATCCATGAATGAGGGAAAAATATATACATTAATTTAAATGCAATTATTGTTAATCCTGTACGCTACAAAACAAGACGTGGAAACTGGACTGTACTTGACTGATTCTTTGGAGTGACAGTATTTTCTGCTAGTTTGATCGGATACAAAATTACCTACAGATATCAATTTACCTGTATATTTTTGTTGTTTTAAAGTCTGTGAAGAATAAATATATCAGATGTACATTTATGTTCAGTGTCAGCCAATGTCTACATAGTTGAATGTCATTATGTTGACGATATCTGCGGTTAAAAACGTTAAACTCTCTTATTGCAGCTAGTATATTCTACATTTTCATTGCATTTATAACGTTCAGTCTCTGTAGTGCTTGTCCAGTGGCTTGTATCGCTGTCATTCCACCTTTGCTTCCCTTTGAAGATCTTTTGTTTTTCCCGSCGCTGTCTAACGACTTCTCCCCCGTGATGTCGAAATATTTGTCTATCATTTGGTTCCAATCCACTACGTTCTGTATTCGATGATCATTTGAATGCTCGCCGATTTCCGAGTTTTCAAGTTTCATAGCCAGTAATCCATTTTCCTGTTTGGAGCCACGTTTAGTTACCGTGTGTTTCTTCATTTGCTGCTGTTTTCGTTGTTCTTCTTCTGCGGCCATCATTCCAATAATGTTTCGTCGGCAATTGCAACGTGCTTTGTACAGAGCWCGCACAAAGTTGACAAGGAAGGTGAATAAGTTAAGAGGAACAGGCTGAGATACTTCTATTTCCATCGTTCTGATCAGTTTTGCGCGGCCAAATTTCCACTCTACGTCTGAACGTGTTTGGATTCGCTGGTAAGTGTCACTCATCATGGCAATGAGCAAGTTAATCAAGACGATCATGCAGAGCACATTGTACACTCCAAACACCGTCTTAGCAATTGGAATGGTTGCCGGTGGGAAACCTGGGTCTTCAGATTTGACATCTTTATGAGAGGTCAGACCAAATAAGGCAAAGAAGAGCATCTCACTTATGGTAAGCATCCCTGTGCTGGCATCCATCATCTTGTATCCATTGTCAACATCGTTCAATGGCTTAAATACGGCTGCAAGTTGAAGAGCAAAACCGATGACAAACAGAAACATGATGACAAGGAATCGCAAGACGTCAACTACTAAATGACCAATGATTACCCCCCACGGACCGAAGAGATGATGAATGGACAAGAACTCCAGGAGTTGAACAACACACATTATCATCCCAAAGGCAAGTAGCTGGTTGCGTGCGTAGATCAAGTCCCGCCGATGATTAACGTCCGCTGCTATGGCGACTAAATGGAGAATTACCCCACAGAAGGTCACTACAATAACAATGCAAGGGATCCATCCAAGGCCACGTCTCTCTCGTGATGAAGTCAGCTCTGACAATAGCAGACCRATGACCCATACTAGCAGCATCCATTCAAAGACTGTTGGTAAAAGGTTTTGAATGGAGAGCTCCCATGGAATTACAGTGGTAAGAATAAATAGGATAAGTAAGTACAAATGAGAAATGAGGCGACAGATGAACTTCATGATAGGTATGTAGTGATAGCGATTTTTGAATGGAAGGCACAAGTAAAACCAAATTGGCGGGCAAAAGAATGCTACAAAGAACAGCAGTAAGAATTTCCAATCTTGCCACTTTAGGTCTCCGTACCAGATCTCTGTGACATATTGCTGGACGATAGCATGCGAGACGCACTCTTTCTGATCGCAAGTGATCAGAAAATCTAGGAAAGCAGTGTTCTGATTATCTAAAGCGTTTAGGACCACTTCACTGTCTTCAGCACACGACACTGTGATTAGATTGTTCGACATTGCTTCGCAGCAAATACTGGCTTCCAATAAAACTGTTTGATATTCCTTGTTTTTCTTTGACTCATTCTGAAATAAGTGTGCCAGTAATGAAGAGATGTGCACTGGGGCAGGAGCAGTAAGGACAAACGCTTTCAGAGGCTTTTGGTCCATTTTCCTTGCACAGTTCACCAAGTCAAGTAGAAACTAGTTGGAAAAAGACGAAAAAATATGAATTAAGGCGAAAAGCAATGTAAACTAAGCTATTATTGAAGGATTTTTAAGTCATACTTGATTATGAGTAATTTTTTATTCGATGTAATTTGCAATATTTACCGCTCTATCAGTAATAAGCTTTTCGTGGTCGAGTTTCTGTCCCAAAAGATAGTTCAGGACATCACTGTGTCGTCGATTTGCAGATAAACATATGGCCGCTTTTCCTGCCTAAGAATTAATGAAATTACACATGAAAATATAAATTAAGTGAAAAGAATAGTTGTCGATTTTAGTGTTGAACTGTCTGCAGCGGGTAGGGCCAAAAAATAGAGAATGGAATTTGCAACCCTTTATCTCCTCTGTTGGCGTGTAAAAGTTCATTTTTATTGAGTCATACAAATACTCATTTTTTAATTCGCTTCGCTAGTGGGTCGATGTTGTAATACCTTTGTCTGTGCCACTGTCGATGCACCATATTCGGTCAACAGCATCGTGACGGCCAAGTATCCACCTTGCGCAGCCAAATGAAGTGCTGTGTTACCTTCCTGTTGATGATAACGTTATGTGCTATCAAACAATCCTGATAACCTCCGTATCACACGAATGCCACTCTTAATCGATATCACGCTTAAAGCCGGTTTACACTTAGCGCCGCGCGACCATCGCCTGAGTTTCGAACATGCTTGAAAATTGCATGGCTGCAGCTTCGCGGTAATCTTCCATCGCCGCAACAATCGCAGGTCTGTTTACACGTACGATTTTAGTTGCGCGATATCAAAGTGGCGATTATCGCGCTGTAAAAATCACAAGTGTTAATGTTCCTTTATGCAGTCGTAAGCATTGTTGTGTATCATCATGATTACCTCATCCTCAGAATTTATATCAGAGCCCTGTCCAATCAGAAGCGTGACAAGTTCTTTGTAGCCATTGGCTGCTGCCATGTGCAGTGGTATTTGACCGTGAATGTCCCGCATGTGTATTGGAGCTATAGTTTTGCTTATCAGTGTGCTGACTACTTCGATGTGACCTTCTTGGGCGGCATAGTGCAAAGGAGTGCGATCCTAAAATGTGGTTAAAAAATGAATGTTAGGACTGATAATACTCTTAGCTTGGATTGTCAGATGGTTTCGCAGAAAGCAATTTCCTACTGATCTCTTAACAACTATAACAAATTAGCTATCGTATCAGGGGCATGTACAAGGATTTCATGAGGGGCATTTCCCCTTTGTATTTCCTCTCCGCATATAGGAATGRGTGTTGCGCAGCCCCTTGAGCMCCCTGCACACCMCCTGYATGTAAATCACATCTGTAACTGCGTCATGATAATTTGCATCAGAATCGATCCTACCTTTCCCGTTGTCTTGGCATCAATTCGAACACCAGGGCTGTTCATCAGCATCCTAATTAACGCTGGATCACCGTTTTGACTTGCGAGATGAAGAGGAGTAAAGCCGTGCTAAAATATGAACAGATTTCCAGTTATACTAATAGACTATATAGGCTATGGAAAGTATATATACGGCTGTTTGTTACAGATTTAGAGAAATATATCTGTTACTTACATCTATGCTTTCATCTTCTTCCTTTGTTTTCTAAACGACAAGGAAATTATACAATGAATAGGTGAATTAAAATAAGACGTGTATGTATAAAACTTAAAAAAAACGCAAGCGGATGGGAATATCACGATTGCTTATGCACTGGACTAAGGTAACTTCAACTTCCTGTATAAAAACTGTGCCTTTTAAAGCTATATAAGCAAGTTATATATATAACAGGATAAAACGACTATAGCTTCTTAAGGCAAGGATACGTCAAACTCACCGAACTAATGAAAGATCCCGACGCTGGGGACCTGGAAAGAATTTCTTGAAGAACCTCAATCTGTCCATATAGGGCAGCAACATGAACTGGTGTCAGGCCAGTCTGAAAGTATTTAAAATTATCTAAATTATGGCTAGTTTTAGCTCAAGTACTGGAGGTATTAAAAAGGAGTATAATCAAAGGTTTGCAATATAGAGTGGCGTATAGAGTGCGCATAACTGGTAAACAATACAAACCTTCGAGCTTGGYCGATCAATGGCTACTTTTCCCCACAGCATATCAACGACTTTCATTTGGCCAAATTTGGCACCAAGTAGCATGACACTCATACCATCCTAAAAAATAGCGTGAGGATTCTTTAGGAAAATAGAAATTATGTTAAGATATTCCTATAAGTTAGTATACTAGAGGTGTCAGTCGCGGCACCAGGAAATAAAGTAATCGAACCAAAATTAGCCAGAAAAAATAGAAAGGTGTGGATATAAATGCCAATGGGATAAAATTCTGGGTTTTTTTTTTGTAATTGTGATTGATGATGGACGTACTCAGTGAAGACAAATTTAGTGCAAGGAATTAAGCTCCCATATTTAGTCTTATATATTGATAATTTACTTTGTAGGAAATTTACTGTTCACGATGAACGTACCTTGTCCTCTTCAGTAGCTGAAGCACCACATCGTAGAAGAAACTCSACCACTTCAGTRTGGCCAGCTCGRGCAGCAATCAACAATGGTCTCGAGAGAACACTCTGAAAAACAATGGATGACGATTCAATATTATCATATTATTCTTGCAATRATAATCCAAAGAGTATTTTTTCAATGGATATTTGTTTTATTTTTTTTTCTTTTATTGAAACACTTTTGAAATACTCATACTTTTAAGTAAATCAAAGGGGTTAAAARTAGTTCCAAAGATCAATTTCGAATCAAATTTAACCACTGTTCTTATTGTAAAATGTAATTCCTAGCTTATTCTATAAATATGTTACGAATAAGTACAGTATGCTGTTTGTATTTTATGGTAGGGAAGATCTAGGGGGTTCCTGTGTCACTACTACGTAAGGGAGTAGAGACCTATCAAGAAGAGGTTGTTTGACTTCTGTATTTTTCATGGTGAGAGGGTGCAAATCCAATAAGATCTGGGGATTTTCAGCAGAATTATTCCATGCGATGCTTTTTTTGTGTTTTTTTTTTTACTTACCGTCTCTGTTTTGCAGCTTGAAAAGTTAAGAGAGACTAGTTTTTTGATTACTTTAATGCTTCCAGCTTTTGCTGCCAATAGCATGACTGTCAGTCCCTCCTGTTCATTATAATTAAAAACAAACAAACCAACGTAAATATGGTTGGATAGTATAAAATAAAGGGCTTGCTGAGGAGAAATTYATTCAAAGATGCTGACGGAAAGTCAACTGCCTGAACTTACATCGTTGGGTTGGGTAAGAGTCTCTGGACGATTTTTATGGAAAATTCCAACAACTTCTTCGTGGTCTTTCAACGCAGCGTAGTGGACAGGAATCATTCCTTTCTAAAAAATGAAATAAAAAAAGAATCTTTAAAACTTCAAGTAATGTTTATAATAATGATGTGAGCCGCGATCAAAGTAAATGTGGGGTTCAAAGATAGCGTTTCAAGTTATAACACTTCTGCAGGGCGTTTTACTTATATCCAAGAATTATCACACAATACTAAACAATAAACGGTTGTTCATCTTTTGTCCTTTATACTAGATAGTGTATTGCAGCTTGACGACTCCAATATTGAGTTTCAACATTTGACTTACAGCATCAGAGCACTTTGATTCAGCACGGAGCGATAGAAGCAAGCTGCAGACATCTGCATGACCACTGTCAGCAGCAAAATGTAAAGGAGTTTTCTTGTCCTATAAAAAAAGGTAAAACTTAATTATTGTGAATAAACTAAAATCAYTATCATTGTTCTATTCCTATTGAATGTGAACGTTGATCTGAACCACGCGCAGCATTCCAGGGACAGATTTATATAAGATTTATTATCTCTCATATAATTATACATGTGTTATTATTCACACCAAAACATACAAAAGATCATGAGGTTCATACCATGGTCGCAGGATCTACTAAAGCGTTGTATTTAGTAATGAGCGTCTTGACAAGTCTTGTGTATCCTTTCTCTGATGCAAGATGGATGGGGGTGATACCAATCTAAATAATRCCACGGTGAAATGTGATTCATGAAATACATTTGTGYTTGTTTATAAAAAAGAATTGGACTGAAAAGGTACAATTTTGAAACAAAGTTTATGGGCGAAATGTTACAGAAATTTTACGGGGAAATCTTTTGTTTGGAGAAGTCTCTTGGGTAAAAAGAAAACCAATTAAAACGTTTTTCTTGCATGCTAGCTATTTAGCGGTAACCTCTCCAAAGGAAAAGGTCTTTTTACTCTGACATGTAAATACTTAGCTCATTCATYAGTGTTTGATCAGTTATGTTTTTTTCTTGATACTGCACAAAATGTCTTACCTTTGTACGCCCATTAACGAATGACTTGTGATCTAAAAGAATACACGCCACTTCATCGTGGCCATAGGTTGCAGCGTGATGTAGGGCAGTACTTCCCGTCTGAAAACAAGAATTTTCTATTAAATAATGATGACACACAGTCGGATAATAATGTCACGTGAGTCACATATATGTRACACAACACCGACGTCACGTACCTCGTCAAAGACGTCTACTCTTGCACCGTGACTCAACAACACCTTGACTAGTTCTAAGTTACCATGATGTGATGCAATCATCAAAGGAGAAGCGCCAATCTAAAGTTGAAACAATTCAGAGTAAAGCATATATACTGAATGAAGAATTTGAAAAAAATSCCATGTAAAAGATTGTAATGATTAATTGTTCTATTAAATATAACTTACGTCAGTTTTGCTGTTGATTCCTGATTGGATGAGATGTAATGGAACTTTCTGTGACGTAAGCATCGCCTTCAAGACGTCATAGTTACCAGAACGTGCAATCCAGTGAAGTGGTGTCTCTTTTTTCTATAAATGATTAAAGTAATTAGACCCAATGAAAATAKAAACTCGATAAAGGATCCATTAGGTCGAAGTAGTGATTTTTCCAATATAACTCGACTGTTCTGATCTGCAGGTATTTTACCGTTTTAGTAGTCATTGTCATGTTGGCACCATGTTCCAGTAGTAAACCCGCCATGTTGACAAGATCATCTATGTTCTCTTTACGTCTGACACGCTGGCAGAGATGATGCAATGCCGTTTCACCTCTCTACCATTGAAAAAAAGAAATAAAAGAACATCAACAACAAAAAATGAACAAGCAAGGTTTCTGGAGAAATGAATTTCACTGGCGATGTTTGAACAAAATATCACATCATCATCGAAGTTTCTAAAAATTTGCACCGTGTTTCCAAGGAAAAACTACTTAAAAAAATGCCCCGTGTGAGGATTGAACTCACGGCCTTCAGATTATGAGACTGACGCGCTGCCTACTGCGCTAACGAGGCACCACTTGTTTGAAGTCCTATGAGTACTGCACAACATCCTAAAATGCATACCGATTGCTAGAAAAATTTGCACCGTGTTTCCAAGGAAAACTACTTAAAAAATGCCCCGTGTGAGGATCGAACTCACGACCTTCAGATTATGAGACTGACGCGCTGCCTACTGCGCTAACGAGGCACCACTTGTTTGAAGTCCTATGAGTACTGCACAACATCCTAAAATGCATACCGATTGCTAGAAAAATTTGCACCGTGTTTCCAAGGAAAACTACTTAAAAAATGCCCCGTGTGAGGATCGAACTCACGACCTTCAGATTATGAGACTGACGCGCTGCCTACTGCGCTAACGAG